TTTTTTTCCCTTTTTTGGGGTGTGGGAGGAAGTTTTTTTTTTTTGTTTTTGGGACCCAAAAAAATTTGGTTTTCCCCCCCAGGGCGATGGGCCCCCTAAAACCCGGTTCCTCGTTTTTCCCGTTAAAACTGGGGCCGCCTCTCCGGCCCCCAAAAGGAACACCCAAGGGGTTTTTCCGGAAAGAGTGAGGCCGGGGGGGGGGCGGGGGGAATTTTGGGGGGGGGGTTCGCCCGGGACCCCTTGGCCCGGGGGGTGAAGGGACCCCCGTTTTTTTTTGGTTTTTGGGGAAAACATTTTTTGGGGCCCCCCCCCCCCCCCCCCCGGTTATTTTCAAGGTGAATGTTACCGTCTCTGGAAGTGGAAGCACCAGGAAATTAAATTTTGTCATTCGCAGCTGTCATGCGTTGAAAGGAAGTAAGTATAAGGTGCCATGCACCCTTAGCAGGATGCAGCGCACGCTTTATGCGACTCGCCGAATACCTCAAGGGGCTTCGCGCTTGGTGATGTGAGAGCCTGGTCCGGTGATAACCCGGCGTGCTCCGTCCCGGCTTTGTAAGGATTCGAGGTCAATGGTCAAACGACTACCGTATGCACGACAATGAGTAAACCCACCCCTCCCCCGGTTAAAGGACACACTGTTTTTCACTGGCGTCGTGCCCCGCAGAATAAACAACATAAGGGGAGTATCAGTCTTAAGGGCACTTCCCCAGCTTCAGGACGCCTGTTTGAAAGAAGTACCATGTATGTCCTTACCCGAGGGACGACTGCTGTACCGCCGCTGTTCTGTTGTTATTGGCGATGGTGGTATTTTGGGGTGGTCTTGGGTTCGATGGTTGGCGCGTAGGCAGCGCAGTGAGGGTCCCTGAATAAAACGAGACGGTCGGGCAGCCGCTAGTGACCGCCTAAAATATGGGGGAGCCGCCTTCTTCTATGTGTAGAGCGGCTTGGGTCATTCCGTCAATGCCAGCCGTTTTCACTGGCCTAGCATAGGGCGACTGCCTTATCGGGGACCCCGGATAGTGTGGTGTGGTGTGGTGTCTGGCGACGCTGGTGATGGTTGCGGCTGTCAGGGGCGTGGGTCCAACTCGGGTTGTGTTTGTCGCGTGGGAGTGAACGGTGAATCGGCACGAACGTCTGTTACGTCCTGTCCTGGACTGCTGTGCAGGTTTGCTCGCATGTTGGAT